CATCTGTTGTGTATTCTGAATATCGGATAGAACATTCCAGGTGTTCGAATACCTGGCTTCTTTCAGTATAGCTGTAGTATCCGTTAGACTGTTTAGCTTACATCGCGCGCATTTGTTTGTGCACAGGGACATTGATAAATCGAGCCAGGTGTCGTGCGACATTCATCAAGCGTAGTAACATCAATTAGTATTAGAACGCGCCAAAGCGGAAATCGCGGGTTTATCGTGCTGACAGACGCGTGAGTTTAATCATTCGATCGGATTAGATGCGATTGTCAGAGCTGCTGTCACGCCTGTCGCAAAGCGTTTTCGATTAGAAAATTGAAGATCGGTGAGACAGGAGAGCTTAGACTGGCGAAAAGGGGCACACGAGAGAGATATTCCTACAAACGATATTCCGTTTTTCTTTTTTTAATACCTACGGACGCGAGCCTTACGATCGATAAAATCTGACAAATTACACAACAATACACAACATGACATTAGATACAATCGGTCTCTTGTCGCCGATAAAAAAAAGCTCCTCCAACTTGGCCTCTGATATGTTTTATTTTTCCTTTGCAATTTCGCATATTCATGTTTCATCGCCATTGGTTTCCAAGTGATATATCGGATCAGAGCCAAGTTCGAGGATCGTTGGCCATTGGGCGGGAGATGTGACAAGCTTCATCTACTTACGTTGGTGGTCCTGTACAAACTGGCTGTATATCAGATAAGAAAATTTCAACTCGGAAAGCGCGTGCGTTGCATCTCTTCTCTATTCACGTTCACGGTGGAACGTGTTACACAGTGGATACATCGTGTTCGTTTCTGACGACCCTTCGTCTCTTCGCACGCGTCGATCGATCGCACAATCGTTCATCGTTTCGTTATTTTTCTGTTTCTTTTCTGTTCTCGAAACAGACATCTTTGCCTTGTCGCGCGAAATTAGAAGAAGCACCGGCAATCTCGCCGGCTGTGTATGAATTTAAGCGTCATGTTAAAATGGAAATGGGATTTCGCGGGGATCTCTGCCTTGGAAATCGAGTGAAATTCTCGCTGACTTGACTCGCTGACAGTCGTGATTCATAGAGATAAAAATGGCGCACAGGTAATTACTGGAACGACTTGTTTTATTGTTCTTATCGTTAGTCGAGCGGACTTTTTTTTCTTATCTCGGCTCGACCGCCAAAGACAGATTAGAACTCTCATTAGCGAGACATAATTTCTTCGCGATCAACTGCTGCCCTCGAGTGGCAATTACGCTTACTGGTAAATTGGTATAGATAGCCAGCGGTACTTTACACTTTATCAGCGAATACTTGAATAATCTCGCGATAAGCTATTTTAAATTGTGTGTATCGTATGTAACGGAATAAAGTGTAAAATGTAAAGTCGAGGGAAAAGACGAAACGATGAGTGGCCGATCGTACGATCCACGCTTCGCGCTTAATACACAGGTACAAACGTACTCTTCTTTCATTCTCGCTGTTTAACACAGTGTTACGTATATACAGCGTGTACCTACAGAATCCTGCTACTTCTCAGAGGATGGATACAACTTTCATGTACGGCGAACGCGGCGTGTCGTTTTGTCC